CCGGCCGTACGTATCCTTCGTCTCGATATCAGCACCCTTCTCAAGTAGCAGCCGCACTATTGCCTCATGCCCAAAATAGGATCCCACTATCAGATCGTTAAAGCCTGGGAGGTTTGTGTATGGGTGGTTAGTGGTCCAGTACAATTGAAACCATGTTCGAAAGCGGTTGGATTGATGATTACAAACTTTTAATATTGACTCCAATAGTGCTTCCTCCTCTCTGATGTTAGCTTCTCGAAAGTGAGAGGCCCAATGTTTCGCCGCATAGTCTAGGAAACTATGCTGGGAACAGTATCGGTATTCATCCATCCCCTCTAGAGGATCTGTCTCAAATACATTTAAGAGAAGGTATAATATACACGCATTCAATATTAATCGATTTGAATCCTCTAGTAACAGTGATTGCTTCCAGACACTATCACCAGTTCTGGTATGGTCGAAATGTGTACCAATGCGGTGCTCACTAAGGAGGAATTCTCTAGCTGTCTGATGAATTAAATAGACTTTTGAGTCTATAATACTAACAAACAGGCCGCAGAGATTTCGCACTTTCGTTTTAAATGCGTCTCGAGAGTCCAGCTCTAGCTCTTTCTCCGAGTTGCAGTTCTTGCCCTCTTGTTTCTCCAACACTGCTAGAACAATATTCATTTCTCGCCAGGTTAGTGGTCTCTCTGCTGAAACAACAATGTGTAACAGAGTCCTTGCCTGCCTGACCAGCCTCTTTTCAGTAACCCGGTTCAAGATACGCTCGTATGCGGCATCAACAGATGACGGTATCTCGGCTAAAAGTTTGTTTAGCTTCCCCTCGGAAGATTCAAGGGTGTTTCGAACTTCATCAAGGATAAGATGGAGCCAAAGATACGTTCGATTATCCATATTTCGTAGGCTATTTATCAGGATCTCCTCGATGTCTTTACCGATTGGGATATCACGGGCGCGGGCAATCCTTGGTACTTGGTCCAGAATAACTAAATCGATCTCGTTGCTAATTTTAATCATCTCTGATTCATCCTCTCCTCTCAAGTTGATCGATAGCACATCCGGAACTGCTGAGTGGAATGCTCTCCGGATATTTTCGTAAGGTCGACTTGTAACGACGAACTTTAGTTTAGTCTTCGTCCTCATCTCGTGACGGGTCAGATCTAATTCGCCTAGTTTCTGAATCAGAGCTTTTCTTGTTGATTCTTCGCATTCGTCCAAAGCATCTAAAACGCATACAACCTGGCCAGCATCTGGGTCTGTAGTTGCTTTCACCAGAACATCCCACAGTGTTCCAAACATGTTACATATTTTAACCCCATTATTCTCGAAATCGTTCATAACATGTTTTAGAAGAGCCGGTCTTTGCGTAAAGAGCTGGTGTAGGATGGCGCAGAGGGCATCTACTGCATTGCATCGTTCATTGTCACCCTCTTTAAAGAAGAAGTAACATATACTTTGCGCCTGGGCAGGAGGTTCTTTAGGAGTAAGAAGCCTTTCATCCACAAGTGCTCTAGACAAGACGGATTTTCCACATCCAGGGTCTGCTGAAACCCAAAGCAAGTTTTCTACGCTTTCGTCACGCCACTTGAGGAACTTTTCATGTCCGAGCAACCATTCACAGGTCCCTACAACTCGCTTCGGATTCGTATCTTTATATTCCCTATAGTTACGAGAGAGCGACTGTAGACATGTGAGTTGCTCTTTCGTTCGATGTTGGATATCCTGAGTCTTTTGGAATATTTCTTTTATCCTGCCAGAGACAAGCTTGAAGTTTCCATCGTCGGGCCCACGATATTTGTTCATCATAGCGTGAGGCACTTCGAGTGGGATCTGCTCGTGACAGTCAAGGCATGCCGATCTTCTCTCAACGAGCTTTGGGAGTCAGCGGATATAATAACAATCGGGGTTCTCCTAAGTCCCTACCATAATTTTGGTGGGTTTTGACCATTTTGAAACTGATCTTCTGAGCACTGCATTTAAGATTTGGGTGGTTCGAGTTTCGTAAAAGCATCGTATCTCGATTTCATGCTTGATAGTTGACTTGCCGAAGGCTTCTACGATGCTTTCAAGGTTGCTAGAATTCTCTCCTAGGTCTTCAAGAAGAGTAGTAGATGGCTCGTGATTTGCGTCCCACATTGCCGATATAAATACTCTCCATTCCGCGGGGGACTTTACTCTTGTACCACGTAGAGGCGTCCCTAGGAAAATAACACCCTTTGTATACTGTAGTAGTTGTATATACTTTTCACTTTCAGACGCAGCCATTTGAAGTGCCTAGGTATAATTAATCAGGCTCAGAAGCTCATTCGATATGGAATTTCAAGATTTGACATGCTTTAGAAACCTACCTGTGTAATGAGAATGCCTCCGAAGCATGATCCAATAAAGACGATCGGCCGTGTTCCGAGCTCATGCTTCTTGTCCCATAGAAAACGAAGGAAGACCGCCCCAAGATCTTTGATACCGACTTCTTGTGCGTCGCGGGAATAACGTGAATTATAGTCAAACACCCAGATCCGAGCATTTGGTACTACGCTTGGTAACATGTCATCATCCACAAGCCAATTTATCTTGCGGCCTCTTGGCTCCTCGTCTCGTTCGTAAGCAGTCCATGTAGTTGGAGAGCATGTTTCAATGCCATGTACGGCAATAATGCTATTTTCTGTCAACCAGTTTTCTTAGAAGAGTAACATGGTGCGTACTCGACGTTGGTGTTCCCTTTCAACCCATCCCTTGGAAACACGGGATAAAGATCTGGCAGTCCGCAAGGCCTCGACGAAGGAACTATTGATGGCTGATCACGAGGCTCTACTTGCTTCGTATGATTCCGGCGAAACAGAAACCATAGAACAGAGAGCGAGGTAAGAACCGAAATGACTGCAGTATTGAACATAGCTTGTTGATGGGCACCTGTTTTGGTTGCTTTATTTGAATAGCTTCAGCCTTACTACGCGGATTCGCAGTTGTCTAAAGTTGCAGCAGTCACGTTTTATCAGGACGCCCTGCAATTACTAAGTAGAACTTCAGTGCCCGAATGCAGTCAGGTGATTTCGCACGAGTAGTTTTGGGCACTGATGGGCTGGTGATGGAGCAGGCTGAATTCTGAGATTGTCCGCCATGCAGCAAGTCATAAGGCACACGTCTCTAACCACCAGCTACGAAACAATTCCAATGATTACAAGCCGCGATGCGCTTTATCTAAAAAAGCTCTCCTGTACCCCAGCGTTCGTTCAGAGTTGCGGATATGAATTACATCCCATTCTCTGAGACCCACCAGCTGAATCAAGAGCTGGCGTTGGATGACGCAAGAGCACTCCGCCGTGTGTCACCACGTTGGCCGAGCTCGACAAGCTTGCCAGGGCACGCGCGGGCTCAACTCAGATCTCCTGAGTTGGATAAATATTTAGAAAAAGAGTTTCTCGTTCCGCAGCTTGATCGTTTAGCACCAAGACTCTGGCTGGTACGTCTTTAATTGCAGCAGAGCACACAATCGCGGCTTTTACTAACCTAACTCGTTTTCTCCAGGTCTCGACCCCGAGAAGCTCCCATATATCGGCTCTTCATCATCAAGCGGCTCGAGGCCGAGAGATTATTCTTGTAGAGAACCCGCACCTTCACCTAGTCTGGAAATACAACAAAATATTTATCAAGCCAATTCCAAAGTACCTGTTATCGTTTGCTTTCTGGCAGTACCTAGTTGAATCGAATGCCGGTAATGGAGATGTTCAAAAGGCGATCATTGGCCTCATGCGATCTTATTCCTATCTGATCCGATATGAGTCCGACTTCGACCTCGCCCAAGAGAAAGGCTTAGTTCCGAAGAGCGACGGGATTGATAATATTACCTGGGACGCTTTTGCTCATTTGATCGCGACATTTGAAGGGTATGAGGATGCGAATGCATCACCACGGTACAGCTACGGCGAGCTCCGCCTGACGCGACTGAACTTTTACTCGCGTATTTCCCTTGGAAAACTGACTTTCCACCACATCGACGCTCAATGGGGCTCATATTTGAACCATTTCATGGTACCTTCATTAATAATCTTCACTATCATCTCCGTCATCCTCAACGCGATGCAGGTTAGATTGGCTGCACAAAGTGTCCAATACTCTGACAAAGACGGGATGGCATTTATATTCGTTTCAGAGTGGTTTCCTGTGTTTGCTCTGGTTTTTGTTGGGCTTTTCAGTACATTTATGATCCTTTTTATTCTGTTCATGTTTTGCCACGATATATGGTTTTCGAGGAACATTATCAAAAAGAAAAATAACGCTTGCGACGGAGCCTGGAAGACAAGTAAATCAGGGGTAGTCTAGAATGTTTCGCTTGAAGATTTACGCCTGTTCTTTAAACCTTCCTCCTACTGTTTAATATTTGTTTCTTAGTATGCTCGCTGAGCCTCGAGGCGGATTTTCTGTGAAGGTAGCAGTCACAACGAAAGTCCAACGTCCACAACCTCGATAGCATCTGTTTGCATAGATTCAATATGTGGTCAGGTTCTCACTATTCTTTGATTTTCGTTGTTCGATCAATTCTTCTCACAAATTGACGAAAATATTTGCGAGCAAACGGGGTAATGTTACTTCTCTTGTTGCTACTCGCTATTTTGTCGCTAGTTCGTTAATCGATAAATACCATATATCAGAGGTTGAATATGTGAGCACCTTATGTACTCCTTACGTATAACCCCAGTTTACTAATATTCTCATCATTCTTCGCTCATTAAACCTTCCATAACCCACAACCACCTCAAAATCTACACCTCATAAGGACTCCTAGCATTCCCCCACAACACCTCCCCCTTCCCCACCTTCTCCCTTTTATAATCCTCAAAATACCTCTCAAACCCCTCCCTCTCCACAATATACCTAACAACATACGCCCTCTTCGCCACCACATCCCCATCATACCCATGTCTCAATCCCCTCTCCTCAAACACCTCCTCTAGACCCAGCCGTTCCACCACCTCATCGCACTCCGCAAAAATCATCATCGCAGGCGTCAACACCTCCTCGATAAAATGCAACAGCACCGCGATCTGATACGTATACAACGGTTTTCCATCTTCCCGACTAACCACTACAGGACCAGGCGCGATCCATGACGAGGACGACGTGAAGCCCCAGTGGACGCCGTCTTTCGGGTTCGTGCATGTCATTAGTTTCTCAGCCATCAGATTGTACAGCGGACTGCGTCCGTGTATCACGAAACCTTTGGTATACCAGTTTTTCTCCGCCTCTAATTTCGTCAGACGTAAAGGGAAGCCTAGATGCGCGCTTATTTCCGAGATCGCACTTTCCCGTAGACTGGGATCGTGGTGAGAGATGTTGAGGGCGTTTAGATGCGCTTTTCTCAGGAATGCTTCGTCCCCGAAACAACTTAGGCGCACGCTGTGGATTACGTTTGGGTCGCAGGTGGAGGACCCGATGCGGTTTGTGGGGTCGAGGATCGGTGTTTCGATGTGGCCGCCGTGGGTTAGGTAGTGTGTTGATATGTGTTGTATGTCGGAGGGCGTGAAATCGTGGAAGCTGGATGTTAGGTTGGCGGTTACTGTGCATTTGGTGATTAACAATGGACTTCTCCAGCGTCGGAGACGCTTTCCTTGGAAGAGCTCTTCGAATTCGGGTTTGGGTTGTTTTTTATCTTTGGTAGGGTCGGAGGAGCGCCAGAGTTTGAGGTGTTGGTTTGGGGAAGAGGGGGTTTGGATGGGTATGTCGAGTTCGAGGTGGGGAGAGGATGTGTCTAGATGGTCGTGTAGTTGGAGGACGGCTTCACCTCCTAGGTGGCCAGCATGTGCTGATTCTAGCCAGACGAACTTCAGATTCGGAGCGGTACCGTTGAATATCGCTGCGAGACTGTAACTTTTACTGCGAGACCCAGCTGGTGAAGGATTCGCGGTACAAAATTTGTTAATCTGCGCGCAGACTATGTCATGCATAGGCTCACACCTCTTCTGACATGTCGTTGAGCAATACAAATCGCTAGTGCATCCTTTACACACAGATTGAGAAGGCTCACTACATCCTTTACATTTTGGTGCTGGTGGCTTATCATGTTTTGTGATGGTTTCTGTGGATACGGATAAAAGTGATGTCTGGTAAAGTGATGATGATGGACGTGGTGAGGATTTTGATAAGAAGCGACTTTTCGAACTTGAAGTTGTCGAGGCACTTCGTGTTGAGGAATTCGACTTATCGACTAGAAGCGCAAGATGTGAGCATGTATGCCTTTTTGTAATCAGATTTCTTCGAGGATACGTACCCGACTTCTTGTTCTCCTTTGTTTCAGTTTTAGGCTTCTTCGGCTTCTTTGGCTTACTGCTGTATAAGTTTAATTGCTGCCCAGAGAAGCGTTGGTCCGGCGCCCACATGATTAATGTTTCTATGATATGGTAATTAAAATTTGTTGGTGAGAAATTAGTTGAGGAAAGCAAATGGTTATGGGTACTGTAATTTCCGGAATGCTGAAGTGATGTGGGTTGTCAAAGGAGGAAGTGAATTGAAAGGGATGTGCATGTGGCCGTTCTAGGTTGGTCAAAGACAGTTTGGGACTCGCTTGATTTTGTTGTTACTTTCAAGTTGCCATATCTAGTATATGAACGAGCAGAAGTTGGACGCTCGCTAATGGAAATCGTGATACATAAAGTCAGATCGAGTCATATTAACCCAACCGAGACTTACAATTATAGAGCATGAGCGCATCTAAATCTTACACTCACAATGAGTAATACTTAGGTACTCATAATTCACTAAGAGAAAAAGGATTTCTAGCACAGTTTCCTGTTTACGATGTTGAATGCTCCCTAGTTCGGCAGAGCTTTCAATAGTAGATGTAATATCGAAAAGCCGCGGTGACGAACCTGATAACTTTTGTTGAGCAACAAGAGAGGCGAAAAGGCGGTCACATTTGTGCATGTTATTGGGTTGCAAAACCTTCACTGAATATAGTGTCAAACGCGGTTTGAGGTTACTTGAAAAGCATCCAGTTTTATTTTTCTTGTGTACATCTAGACTTTTGAAACATGTTATTTTTATCAGCCTCAAAATAAACCCATCTGACGAAATGTCTTTCAAGTCCATGTTCTGCTTGACCATCAATACATCAGTTTCTTGCAATCTTTCCCTCTACATATGTCCTAGAAGTGAGCTTGAGCTGTTTTAAGACAGACTCCAATCTCAAACCTCATAGGGAGACACAGCCTTAGCCCATTCGGCATCGCCAGACTCAATCTTCTTCTGCTTGTACTCCTGGAAAAACTTCTCGAAACTTGCCTTGCACACGAAATTGGCGAGCATTTCCTTACGGGCTTCCTCCAACTTTTCCGTATCACACTTCCCCTTATCTTTGTTTCGCTCTTTCCATGCGCTTTCACTCAGGTCTGTCATCTTTGGAATGATGACCTCCAAGTGGTAGGCGACAACTGCTTCGAGATGACGTGCGGTCAATTGTTTCCCATCTTTGCGGAACGCGATGATAGAGCCTGCAGAGAAAGTTACGATCTTGTCGTCTTCAACTTGGTTCCAGAAATCTCCAACTTCAATGTCTGTTGACCTAAGAAGTACCCATGGTACGTGGTTTTCCGCCATACCACAACCAACCTCGGCCGCAGACTGCTTTACCTTATCTTTAAAAATTGGTGTGTTCATCAAATATAGAGGTATCTCCATAAGCATCGTAGTTCGGGACCGGCCGCCACATATCAATCTTGCTAGGCCTCGCTCCATCTTTATATTGGAATATGCTAAGTGTCCCGCAGAATTCTGTTTCTGGCAAGAGACTCGCACACCAGTAACGATTTCGGGGAGTCGTGATTCAGCCACACCGTTCTCAAACTCGTCTAAGTAGCTCTCTCCTACAAACTCGCCATTGTTCATGATGTAGTGTCGGACAAGTTGAAGATCGGAAGGAACGACATCTTGGTAAAGATATGCGTGACCCAAGGACTCAGTCTCAATATTTGCCGACACAAGAATTGGACCTCTCCAGTCTCTTTTCTTTTTCCCTCTAAGACATCCCAATGCATACTTGTTTGGTCTTGACCCATCTGCCAAAAATTCTTCTCTGAACCACAGCGTGATTTTATGGTCGAGATGGGCGTTCGTCTTGCCGTGGTAAAATATCTCCCGCATGTTGAGAAGCAGATTTCTATCTTCATTACCCGGAGGTTCGATCGGACTCTTGATGATCTCATGTGGGGTAGGCGAGAATTGATAGCGGTGGACTTTGCATTTTCTTGCGGTGGCAGTGTCGGTCTTTTCGATAAAGCACTTCACCCACATGAATTGAGGGACAGTACTGTCTTCGGGAAGTAGTACAACGAGTTTGAATTCAGTTTTGCCTTCTTTGGTAGGTCTTGGATTGGCGTTGATGAACATAAAGAATTGTTGGCACAAGACCTCGTGCTCAGCTTTGTCATCTTCGAGACATTTGGGTGAACAGTACTAGGTAACTTTGCAGAGAGAGCAATCGACGGCTGTTTTGGAGCCACAGACCGAGCAAAACGATGTTGAAAGAGGCTCTGAGGCCCAGTTGTGTCTCCTTGGAGAAATCTGGAATTGTCGGATCGATAAACACGCCGCCGAACAACTAATTGGAAACTCACAGTTAGATCGATAGCATATCTTAGCTAGTGCTGGGTCAAACCTTTAAAATGGCGTCCATATCCATTGCGTTGAAGATGTGGTAGTAACCAAGTCAATGTTGATGGAATGTATACTCTGGTGTGGTAGAAATCTTGGAGACGTTGAATAAGAAGAGAAAGAGCAGGATGTTTCGATCTAAGTTTGTAAACAGTCCATACAATGGGTGTTTCTAGGGCCACACGAGGGGTGGAGGGAAGAAACAGAAAACCAAAGGTGAAACCAAGTTGCCGTTCACCTTCAACTTTATGACATAGATTTTGATAGCAAGTCAATAGCTAGTATGTGTCTACTCTGATATGATTTTACTGCCTCATTTTACATAATATATGATTAATGGTCCAACTGTTCACCATAAGGCTATAGATACTGCCTATCATATCTCCAATCTCACTACCAACAAGATATAATGTCGGATTGCCGTCTGAAAAATAGCTCTGAAATCTGACTTTGCTTTCGAATTCCTCTACAGCTCGATATAATGCTCCGAGAGAGTAGTGGCGAGACTACCTGGGCACGTGCTGGGTAGGTACGGTTTCCAACCTGGAACATATAAAAGGAGTTAAGCGAGGCAACATCGAGGAGAGTGGCTGTAAACATTTGAACGCTCCAACATCGAGGTGGTTTCTTTTAAGGGACTAAAATAACACTACTTCAATGACAATGAGATACACACAACTCAACTAAGGTATGAAAAAGTCTCCATGTTTTACCTCACCATGACATGTGTAAGCCGGTCCCGAAAGTTTGTTGTCATTCTCATTTCCTCACATGGAAAGTCGCAAATCACTCCAGTGGATTTCTATCAAACCAATGTATTTTATTGTTTACTCTATCCTCTATAACCGTAAAGGTATGGCCGACCTAGGAATCAAGTCTCCTCTCCATGTACTGGAGGATTTGATGCACTTGTTCTGGGACCTACATCGGTATTGTAAGTCTTCTAATGTGCCAAACCAAGCATACATCTAACTACTCAGAACTAGATCTTTAAATAGTCTTGAGTGGATTAAGACAATAAAGCTGATTGTTGTATTCTTTAAAGGTGTTGTAGTATACTACTTTCGCTTAGCAGGACAGGGGGGGGGGGTTTCTGCAGGGCGTATTGAGGAACTCCTTCGCGGACACAGCTGCTGTATATATAATATAAATTCTCCATATAGACATGATCAAGAATCCAAGTATACCTACTGATCCAAAAGTATTTTGCTTTGCAGTATGCTTACAGCAAGCACTTGGGCTCAGCCACATTCGTGGTGACACCGCATGCCATTGTGGCGGAGGGACGTTCAGCCTTATCTGAAGTCTGCCTTGTATAAACCCATTGACATTACCATATTATTCCTGCTCAACATGATTACTCTTCTATTCATTGTTTCAGCTTCGCTCAAATGCCTATAACTGTCGGTTCAATCGGAGACATCATTGCCATCGCACAGGTGGTCGGGAAGCTCTACAAGGCGCTTCGCGCAAGCCAAGGCTCAGCTGTCGAGTTCCAAGATCTGGTACTCGAACTTTCAGTCTTTTACGGGACATTGGAGAGAGTAAGATGTTTATTTCTAAAGTTCATATAGTTTTCTAACATTTAGTTCAGCTGGTGGTTCTCTGGCCGACTCGTCCCACTCTCCCGGACCAACTCGCTTTAGTTGCACCGATTGTGGAAGAATGCAAAACTGAGATCGACGGTTTTCTTGGAAGAATTTTGGGCAGATATGGTAGACAGCTTGGGGCGGAGGTCGCAAAAGCAAAATGGTATAAGGAGATTGGTAGGAAACTACAATGGAGTATGCTGGAGGCTGGCGAGGTGGGACGATTGAGAGAGAAGTTAGGACGAGCGAATATGATGATACAGCTTGTTTACTCTCAAGCTCAGGGGTGTGTACTAGCTTCTGTGTTCTAGCTCCAGGGACTGACTGTTTTAGGGCCGCCGCTGAGCTAGACAGCAAGGTAGTTTCGGAGAAACTGCAAATTCTGTCAGAGCTTGAGACAGAGGCGAAAGAGAACCTAAAGAACTACATTATTGAGGTTCAAAAGAAGATTGAAGAGCAGAATAGAGTTCTAGAAAATCAGAACATGATGATAGAGGAGATGACGACTCGTGTGCAAGGCATTATGACTACAATGTGAGCAGAACCTTAGATAAGGGAAGATATTGCACTAACGCGGTGTTAGGACGCCCATGGCTAAGATAACTTTCGATATGAAGGATATTCTTATCGACGTTCAAGAAACATTACACTCCCAGCAAAGTATCCCTAGGAGCATTGATCCTTGGTTGCAAAAAGCTTTGTATCTCGAAGACTCATTGGGATATGTTTTACCTGTTCCACTGGAAACCATTTGCTCATGGGAGGTGAGTAGCTTGTCACTCAATGAAATCAACTTACTAATATTGCATCAAGACACTTCACATGGTCCTTTGCGATAAATTTAATGGTCGTCCCGGACATGAATTGGTCAAACGAAAACGATATCTGTTTCAAGATGCAGCGAACGGTCGAGATTTAAGCGTCAAGATACAATTTACATCTGCTGTTCGGCCAGGTCAAAAAATCTCCATGTGTATGATTCTATTCTCTCCGGATGGACAAAACAATATTTGCCCGAGATGCGGGACAGCAAACGTTGCAGGGAGCGATCAAGATATTAACTGGTTAGTAATTCAATTGAACTGCTCATTATGAAAACGTATTTTAACCTTTTATAGCACCAACCCAAGTTGTCTAATGACTTATCGCCGGGTCACGGACGTCACAGAGCCTTTGGCGAATGATGATGGGAAGGGCATTTTGAGCTCAGTTCATCCTCCTGAATCAATCCTCGAAGAAATAGATAGTAATATTGCATTATCTGATCTGGAGCAACTATCGTATGACAAAAACTATGACTGTTCAATCGACCTCTTTAAGCGAGCGCGACTTTTTACGAGATGGCAAGATGCAGAAGAGTCTCGATCAGGAGCATTGATTACGAAGCTTGGAAGCATGTCCATTTGGTATGCTTATGGAGCCGCTTACAATGTAGAAGTGCAAATATCTGGTCTCCTCCAACGCTCCGTTATGGCTCCTTTGGGCATAAGGGATATGGACGCCGACATGAGCCACGACGAAATATTGCAATGGCCTCATAAAAGCACTAGCATCGGTTCCTTCACTTGCATTTTATTGTGCTTTGCAGGAACATCTAGGGAAAATGCAAGACCAGTGGTCCACATTTACAGCAAGGACAAAATTTTGAGGCGCCGGATTGTTGCAGCCCTTAAAAAGCTCGACTGGCTTGCACTGGGGAAATCTGGAGTTGTGGTTAGTACATGGTATAACACGGAGTTCAGAGAATTTATTATTGAGAGTTACGTGGACGATGGCTGGGATAGAGATTTCGCAGAACTGGTTTGGTAAAGCTGAGAATACATGACCTGATACCCCATATATAATATCAAAATATATTTATCACCTAGATATGAGGAGAAAACCAAATTTTAACCATCAAAACTAGCGAGTAAAACTTAGTTGAAGCGGATCTATCTACCACACGGTCCACACCCCTTCTTAAAGTATTCTCCATGCAAAGACAAAAATCAACTCTTCAAGATACGAATTGCCTGAACAATCTTTCTTCCAGCCTTGAAATAGAACTAATTGTAATCCATCGTACCTTTACCTCTGCTGCTACATGGACAGGAGCCAAACGGGTGTATAATATTTGTGTCTTGTAGTTTCTTCCAGAAGACCATGTGACAAGAAGCAATTTTGATACTTTTCACCTATCAAATGCGGAGATTCTCGAACACGTCCTTGGACTCTATATTCGTTTCCCTACTCATTAAGGTAGCTCATCTCTTAAACAAAAGAACAACGATAGACATGACGCGAAAACAACATCATCGACAAATCCTAACATACCTATTCTCGCTTGAAAAGGGGGACCAAACACCTAGCCCGAGATGACAGCATATTAAGCGGGCATACTAAAGGACGCTTATAACTTTAGAAAATAAGATAGAAAAAGCAACAGAAGAGAAACAGTGAGGTCAGCTAAACGTAAAGTCACCTGTTGCTGGTTTGTTAGTGTTCACTTGTGTTCTTGGGTCCGCAGTGTAGAAGACATAAACAATTCCAAAATCAAAAAGTCAAATTCAACGCAATGCATCTATCCTAAAAAAGCAAACCCCATATAAATGTTAATCCGTGCTAAACTACCAACTCCTTAACCTCCATGTCTAATCATACAAATACATCTCTCCCGTCCAAATTCCAAAAACAAACACCAAGTACCAAGCTGCCACACATATAGACACAACCTACGATCCCCTTTCGAAAGCACCAGATGAAATCTATTCGTCATCCTTTACCGACTGCCACCCGGTGCCAGCCCATGTGTCTTCCGGCTCTGGCATAATAGCTCTCTTGACACGACTAATAACCTCGGATTGTGCAACTGCATCAGTTTCTTCTCTCTTAGCCATTGGATCCACGGGGGCGGCTTCAGGATCTACTACAGGATCGTCGAGAGAACCTGTAGCTGGCTTCTTTGTCTTCTTTTTCTTCTTTGGTTTCTCAGCAGTCAAATCCGCATCTGGATCCAAAGGTGTCGTTGGATCTTCGTCTAGAGGATCGGAACCAGTCTTGGCCGTCTTTACAGGTAAATCAGTATCGGGATCAATCTCCGATGTCTTCTTCTTCTTCTCTACAGGTAAACCTGTCTCCGGATCAATCTTCGGTGTCTTCTTCTTCTTCTTATAAGGTAGACCTGTCTCTGGATTAATCTCCGGTGTCGTTGTACCATCGTCTAGAATGTCCTCTGATTTCGTTGTCTTCGGAAGTTTCTCCGTTCCATCTGAAGGCAATTCTCCTCCCTGCTGCTCATTATCAAGTTTCTTCTGCTCTTTCTCAGCTGCCTTCTCCTGTTTCTTCTCCTCCTTATCAAGTTTCTTCTGCTCTTTCGCAGCTGCCTTCTCTTCCTTCAACTTCTCCTTATCAGCTGCCTTCTGCTCTTTCTCATTTGCCTTCTGATCCTCTTTATCAGTATTTTTCTGATCCTCATTTTCAGGTTTCTTCTCCTCCTTATCAGGTTTCTTTTGATCTTTCGGCGGCTTAGACTTTTTTCCTCTTTGTTCAAGATTCCTGGAATCGAGTTGCACCGGGACTATCCCAGGGTTGGAAGCCTGATCATCGGAGAATTCGACAGTGCGTCTAAATGAAAGATAGCAAGGTTAGCATCAATTGACTCTTCTTGAAGATTATGGATGTTGTCTGGAAAGTGGGAGAGGCTTATCTTACCGATCATGAACATCAATATCTTCAAGTGCGCCGAGAACAGTAGCGACACTTCCGAGTGCGAGAATAGCGTGTGAAAGACGCATTTTGATAGATGATATTGACGGGGATGAGAAGGTTGGGACAGGAAGAGTCTAAGATGGTGACCAAGAAACGAAGTTGGTGATGAGTTTGTAAAGAGGAGTGTGAAATACAAGCAAGAGGTGTAGAGCCAGTCTAGAGCCACAGTTTACAGAAATTGTCGTAGAAGGTGGTAGTTGCTATGTAGATGAAGATGAGGATGAGAAGATGTTAGTTGAACTGGCAGACATATGGACTTATTTAACTGAAGATGTGAATAGGTTGTTTACCTCACAAGTGCGAGATCGGTAGGAATTGACGTGGAGCAACATCTGGATGTGAGGATGCGGATGACATTTTCGACTTCTGATGCTCCGCTTGTGATCACTGCCATGTTCAGGAATGATGGGAGCTGGATGCTGTATCTTGACGTGTAAAATGCTGGTAACCTGCTCTGAACAATCAGTTTTCTATGTATGATCTTAAGCTTTTGGGAGTGCTAAAGCTGGCGCAGTATCTTGATTTGAGGATGGCGTTGACTTCCTCTGACATTTCTCATATGGACTCTTTTTTGTCATGAGATGGTAGGAACCGTAGGAACCGTGCAAAGCTAGGAACTGTAAATAGCTAATTGAAGAAACTTGCTGATACCGTACGACATGCTTCGACATATCTCATCTAAAGAATACTGGGATCCGGATCGGGCCACTTAATTGGATAGAACAGACGATTGAGTGAGGCTTAGTGTATTTGAATGATGCAATTTCGAGTTGCACAAGTTTCAGGATTTGCCTTCCGTGGCTCAGGACTAACCTAGGAGTAACCTTTTCGGTTCGATATCTTTACTCACGTAAAATCGGCATTGGATACATGGAAGCAATACCGTCTAGAGGTATAGTCACATTTTGATTGTCAGAGGACGTCAAAAACGTTGATCAGAGGTCAGCGGATCGGAAGGTTACAATTGGCGACTTTCAGCAGTTTCCGGACGCTTCATTGTATATTTCTATAAAGTACATGAAGACAATCAATCTTAATTAATGCTTCAAAGATGTTCTGTGAGCATCAAAAAGACCTGAAATGAAGTTGGGGCGGAGAGATTTCTTATTACCTTAACCTCTAGACCTGATGATATAATCTTCCCCTATAGTCAACTACTAACATGAAAGCGCACTCTGAATCACACAATCTGTAACATTGCAATGTATTTCAAAATCAATCCCACTGTAGTTGTGGTTGCTAGAACCGTCATAATCTCTGCCTCCCTCACAGTCTCCGCGTGAGTACGCGGAAAACGACAAACAAACTTGGATCTCAGTAACGAGTTTTGACGAGTAAGCTTACAGTGAGCGTACATACGATCAAGTAAATCAAATGTAAGGGAGCTGGCTGTGTCAGGTACTGCAACTTTAATTCCCAACAACGCAAGCTAAGGGGCGGCTCGATCTCGCTTAGCTACACGGTGTGCCATCCATCCAACCGACGTCCATCCCTCGTAAGTCAACATTGCGGACGAAAAATTATGATTAGCTAGCCCGTATATGACTTAATTTAAATACCTACACGTGTGTTTTGAAGCTCGTGTATGTATACCGTACTATCTATATTTCTTCCCTCCCAACTTACGCTGTCGTTCCTCATCCATCTTCCATCTTCCTATTACACTACTTTCTCCCCCCCCCCCAGGACCACTGAACTAACTGTCCATCTCAGCCAAACACCGCTAGATGTCAAGACTCACTGACACTTAAAAAATCCCCGCTGACCTTCGCTACACAAAGTTCACAGAACAAATAACACAGCAAAACTTTCCCACCTGATCACCCATTGCAGCCTAAATTCTCTCATGTGGAGAAGCGGACTACTATCTAGTCTGAAAGGGATCTGGGGTGCGAGGTGATGAATGATGGGACTTCCAGAAGGGGGTGTTGACATCGTCGAGATAATGTAATAGATAGCGAGGTCACTTAAATCACCGTCATCAACCAACAAAGCTGAATCGACGCCATCCCATCATTTCCAGCTCACTATCAACATCCACAAGACATCACAACACAACGTCATCTTCATCACCCTCCTCTTCTCAACTCAATTCCCACAAACGAGGTTCCCCAAGCCGAGAGACCCGTCGGCGTTAACACCCTCAATCATGATATGTCTCTGCTATTTCCTTTAAACACATCTACTTGAAATACGTAGTAAATCAGCTTCACAGCATCAATCTCATGAGCTTAATTCATGCCCAACTATATATGCAGGAAAACACATCCTTGAGCAGACTACGGCAAGTAATGGAGTTGTATAATTCGTGAGAGAGATTTGTAAGGCGAGAGGAGTTGTATGGGAAGGAGATTAGGGGGGTGTAGATAGAGAGGAGAGTTCAGGATAAGGATTTAGGGATGTTAGGTAGAGTAGGGAAGGAAGTGGGGGGTTGATGGAGTGCTTTTTCTCTATGTCTTGTAGATGTTGTTTTGTTACTTGTTTAGATTTACCCATCACGCACTGTATATTACCCACCACAATCTAA